GGGAGATCAGAGGCAAGCTCTTGACAAAATTTTGCAGGATGAGGGAATTTGACAAAAAACCAGTTGGTACCGAACCTATCTCAGGCTCCATCTCTCAGGGAAATGGCAGTTGTCAGGGGTAACCTTTGAACGAGGGGCTGGCTCAGGTTACAGTTTGTACTCCGTAATAGTAATCTTTTGTTTAAACCTTAACACCGCTAAAACCATCATGCTTATTCATTCTCTACACTGTTCTTTCTACATTTCTTTGGTGTTGATAAGGAAAGTTTGTTCAACAATCAAGCTATTTTAGTTGGCGATCATGCTCTTTATTCTCATGATCTTAATGTTTGATTCAGAAATGATGCTAAAGGGAGAAAATAGATGCTGATCACTCCTGAGAGTTTGACTGACAACTTTCTCGGCGATGTCGTTGCGTAACTTGTCGAGACCTCACTGGACAGGTCTGTGCGAAGCCACGTGTAACTACTGTTCTTTCGGCCTGCTCTCTAAATAATTACACAGCAGCAGATACATTCATTGACGAAAGAATCCGAAACTACAGCACCACGTTTGGTGTACCTTCTTCTCCGCCGCATTTGTGAATTACTTCGATAACAACTCAGTTCGTTTTCATCACATTCCTCCGCCTCGCTATGTGTTCGGTAATACACGCTACCGCTCGTGATGGCCCGAACGCGTGACAAAGAGTCTGATGATAATTGGGAGTTGTCAAAGGCAACGCTTGCGTCACAAGATTCGTTTTGATTGGCCTCTCGAATAAATGACACTTGCCGCCGACTTGGCGTGACAGCCCCGTGACGACTCTGGCCCGTTGCATGATCGTTACTGAATGACAAAGAGGTGGGTCTCTGTGATTTCTCTTCTGAGTGAATGTATTGCTTTTCGCTGTTACTGATCGAAAGACTCGATTCATCGCTGGGTTTTCCCTCTTTTTCCTTTTCATTATTCTCAACTGATTCCCTATTTTCTTCATCTGCACTCAGTAAAGTTCTCTGATCCTTAGTCCCTATCGGTTGGTCGTTGTAGAAGGAGTCCTCTCTCCGCGCTCTTGTTTCTTGCTCATCTTCGTTGATAAGTTTTGTAGAATCATTTCCTCCATAAAAACTCGCAATACTTTCGTCAGCCATTAAACGAGCCTTCTGCAAGCTGCAGAAAAAAAAAAAATCATCGCATTTAGTCTAGAAAATTGAAATGATTGAGGCTGCTTGTCAAGCACTATCAACGAAGACATTGTACCGATCCGGTACTCGTTAAGACTAATGCTGCATCAGAACAATTTTAAGTTGAGCAGTTTGAATGAGCGGACATTTAGCTTTAAGTTAGAGGCATCAGTTTTGGCTATCTTTATTGAGGAATTTTAACTCTAAGCCCTTACAATTTGTCGCTTTTGTCGGCTTTCTTTACGTTAGCATTTGAAATAGCTATATCCCTGAAAATGGAAAGAGGCACGAAACATTCATGACCTTAGAATAAAGGGGGTAAGTTTCTTAAGAAACTGTGGTGATGCGTCGGTGGGAAAGTATAACAGGGTAATTTGGTATTATCAACTGAGTTGATAACGTAAATTGGCCACCGTAAGGGGTTTTAAAAGCGTTAGCCCTTCGTTAGCCCTTCGTGCATAGCCTTGGGTTTTGGACGTGGGAGCCCTGACAACAATAGCTGCGCTAAAAAATCGACACTAAAGGATTCAGTGTTGATCAAGACAGTACAAATGTCATTAGTAGAAATAATGTACTCACATTAACGACACCACCATCAAGACTTCCCCGTAGAGAGCGTAAATCGGGCCAATTAACATTTTTGAACCAGAAGTACAAGCGATAAGAGACTAACAGTACCAGTTATTGGAGAAAGCAGATAACGCAAAAAGAAGAAATTTGTAGTAAGTAAAAAACTTCATCAATTCGCCTTGCTGGCAGGTCTCATGACTATCACGATTAGAATTCTTACTCATATTTATTGCTTTATTGTAAAGACTGGGTTTGGCACAACTTAAACTGCGGAAAATCCTCTAGAAATGGCCTCTACTTGGAGTTGATCAGAGTCATTTCCCTGTTTGACCGCTGGGCAGAGGAATGGGGACTCTGAAGACGAGATTGATTGCATTTGTTTAGTTTGCTTCATAACAAACACGACCTCAAGAAAACGTTCAAAGGACAAGCCTATGTATTTTTTTACATGACTTAGAGCGGCTAAAAAAATACTACAAATCACGGTAAAAATGTACTACTACAAAAATTTTGTGATCACTCGGAGAAATAGCGCTTCCATCCGAGAGACGCGTGAAGCGATGACGAAAATTCGGCATAAACTTATGTTGCTGTCGAAGTGTAACTGTTTACGTCCGCAAGCTCCAATTCTTATTCGACGCCTTTCCAAAATTTCTCCTAGTGTATTTGCACTGACATTTTCAGAAAAGTTATGGTTCAGCAACGAAATCGTAGATGAATGCAGATGCGACCAAGATTAGTACTACTCAATTTATGTGAGACAGCAAATAATATATGTGCGCTTACATAAGAAACCTCTGCGTTGCTTAAAAATTCATTCCATTTTTTGGAGCAGGAAACTCAGCTTTCAGAGAGAACCAGTGATTTTGAATACTGAAATGGTCAATGATTTGAGTAAACCGGTTGATGCTGCAATCACTGAACGAACCGGCTCGCTGGGATTCGATGAGTACCGCTAGTACTACAGCACTGTATTCTTCTCTGACATTACGTTGACCTCCTGAGAGTTTCCTGACAAATTTATGCCCTGTAGGATTTGAAATTTCTCGCCATTTTAACATTTTGCTTTAAAATCACGACAGAATAGCTCTTTGGAAATTTCAACATCAATTTCAACACTTTTGGCATCGTGTTTAAACATAACAATTTCGATACGGATTGATACGGTACAAATATATCTTACGGTTAGCAATACACTTAGACTATAAAACCTACCTAGCGAAATACTGCTGTTATGCAATTGTGCCCTGATACATGGATTGCGAACGAATGAACCATGGGCCTCTTTGGCTACTTTGAAATTTCGAAAACTGATTGCGAAATATTTATAATAAGCACACTGGAACAATATTAGATAATGATTAATTGTTTTAACAAGGTTTGGAGTAACACAATGTTGTGTATTAGACTGATGTCACACAACAGAAGAAATGAATGCAAAGCGCTTTCTCAATTTTTTTTTCAAAGTCACTAGTTCGGTTATTGGATTTTGAGTGAATGGTCGGCATCAAAGATAAGCTATTCTCAGGGAGTGAATCACAATTCAGTATCTCATTGAACTGTCATCCCAGTGGAAATCATCGCGAACAACATATGTAAAACTAAATTTAAGTAGATGAAAGACCTGTATTATCATATTCTGACAGAGCTGTATCTGGTTACGACTAAAGGTAAAACTACAGGGAC